TTGACAAACGAGGTGGGCTAAAACTGGCTCCGATACCATGATAGAATTTAGGATGGGATATGGATAACTGGATTCGGTAATAAGACACTTGGGTTGAACCACTTTAAAAGATTGAATCCAATCGATTAGTTAGTTCAACTCTAGAGCTTATATACCGATTATTTTACTCTTAGATTTCCGATGTGGGATGTACTCTTACAGATGTGCAAAGAAGACGTACGTCATTTCCGTTGGGTAATTGGGTGGAGGGAGAAGAGAGAGGGAGATGAACAATGAAGAAAGAGTCAAATAAAAGGTTTGGTCTTTAGAATGTAAGTTGTTTCTATTTTGAGTATATAAATTAGAGATTTCTATTTTAATAATATGCCTAATGATTTTGTGTTTCTAAAGGACTCTCATTAAAAACCTAATTGGAAAACATTGTTTTAAGAATTACACAAAGTTTAAATGATAAAAACAATTGAAATACCCTCTACTTTATTGGCATGAGTACTTATTTCGCTTGTTGGCGTTGTGGCTTGCAGTTGACAAAGCCTGCAACTATGACCTCTGTAAATACAGACTTCACTAGTATCACCAATTTGCAATCAAAGTTCAATTTATATTTTTTCAATGACCCTCTAATTACATTTGAGAGAGTTTTCAGCAACGAGACTCATCTTTTTTATTAGTATTTATTACAATTATAACGAGTATCACGTAAGTAATTAGGGAGTACTGGAGTAGTACTTATTGGAAATTGATTTGGAAAAAACACATCAATTTGACTCAACTGGAATTTTTTTTAAGCAATGCTATGTTCACAAACAGGATACTCACAAACTTTACAAAATTACTGTTTATGGTTTAAATTTTCATTTTAAAATTATTTTAGACTATTTAATTTTATTTATTAAAGTTCACAAATAATAAGTTTGTAAAGTTTGTGATCATTTTGTTTGTCAACCAAGCATTTTCCATTTTTTATTCCAATAACACCATATGTGTTGCCACATGTGTCGGGTGAGGCGCCCAGTCACCGTTTGACAGTACCCTGCTCCTGCCCTCAAATTCTCCCGAATTCAGGTTTTCCCCATTTCTATTCGGGTATTGCGAAGGCTTCAATTTCTGAGCTAAATGCCATTTCTCCCCCGCCGAAACGCCCAGATTCCGCGAATGAGCTCAAGAGATCGATGCCAATTGGTGATACGAGCAAGGTAAAGTTCCCTCCTCTCTCGCTCTTTTCATGTTTCCGGTAGTTCTTTTCCGTTCCGATCGATTTGCCTATGCACAGTCCACTTCCGGCAATTCTCACTGTATTTATCTATTCCGGCGGTGGACGGCCGCCTAGGGCCTTGATTGGCTAGTAGCTGGCCGGTGGGCGCCTAGATATGTTAGCAATATATGACATATATGGTCGTTGAGATTTATAAAAATGAATTATGCAAGGGTTTAATATGATTTTATGTAGATTTCTTGTTAAAAAACTAAAACCATCATAAACTAAAGTATTTTGAGTGGAAGGAGATTAGAATTGACGAATGAACTCTCAACAAAACAAAAGGATAGTATCAAATAAGTATGTCACATAGCGTGTGCAATGATCTATTATTGACTAAATATTCCCTGATACTACATCTGGTCTCATAAGAAAAAGAAAGTCTATGAAGCTTGATTGGAATTATTTTTTTTAATTAAATTTAATTAAAATTTGTGTAGAAATAAAAATAAAAGTTATGTGTTTTATATCAAAAGATCTACAAAAACAAGATGTGACATGAGTATTATTATTCCAAATAATTAATGAAAAAGCCAAAAAAGAAAATAAAGTTTGACCTTTAAAAAGTGTTGAATTAAATGCGATGTCATATAATATGAATTAAAGGAGTTGCTTTGTGTAGGTTCTCTGAACAAATTTACAGGCGGTTTGGCTAATATTAGGTCAATTAGGAGCTGCCTATGCTAATTTTTAGAACACCCATTATTATATGTGTGGGAACTTATTTGTGCAAAAATGTAGGTCATTGACTTGAAATCTGTTCTGGTTGAAGGACACTGATTATTGTCTCTCCATAAGCATATGAAAGTTTAGGAAGTTATTTTGAAATGGTAAACGATGGGAGCCAAAACGATAAAATTTGGAACACGGGCTCTCTGAATGTGGGCTATGGAGTTGGCAGTAGTTTCTATATGGGAGATGGCAGTATAAATCAAAATGGTCATGTGACTCGTATGCTACCTGGAGCAACAGTAATGCAACCATTGATGGTCGATGGAGGTTTGACGGACTGTTATGTTGGGAGACATAATGAGATTGATGCATTGATAAATGATGATGTATACCAAAGTATGAATGTGAAAGAGGGACCTCCTAACCCTACTATGACTGCAACTATGGGTTCACATGTACAGCAGTATTTCAGTGACAAAATTGTTTCTGTGCCTGGGACTCAAGAACATTTTGCAGCTATGCCACCAGCATGTGTAGATGGAAAAGATATAAAAAATGTTGCTCTGGTACCAAGAATTCGTAAAGAGGAGTCTAAAACAGAGGAAGAAGGGGAGGTTTATGTCTCTGATCTAGTATGGGGTAAGGTGAGGAGACATCCTTGGTGGCCAGGACAGATATTTGAACCTTCTGTTGCGTCACAGAAAGCAGTAAAATGTTTCAAGAGAGACTGCTACCTAATAGCCTTCTTTGGTGACAAGACATTCGCGTGGAATAAAGTGTCACAGATAAAGCCATTTCGGATGTACTTCAATCAAATGGAGAAACAGTCTCATATGGGAGCCTTCTGCCATGCCGTGGATTGCTCATTAGATGAGGTCTCTAGAAGAATCGAGTTTGGGTTGTCCTGTTCTTGTGTTCCAGAGGTAGTGCAACATAAATTTAAAACCCAGATTGTGATCAATGCCGGCATTCAACCAGAATCAGTTCAAAGGGATGGTGGTGACCAACTCTCAACCGTGGACTCTTTTAGGCCCGGGGTGCTTCTTCAACATTTGAAGTCAATAGCAGTTTCTCCGTGCTATAGGGTTGATAGATTGGGATTTGTAGTTGCAAGATCTCAGATGCTGTCATTCAACCGTTGGAAGGGGTATCATAAGCTACCTGCAATAGAAGAGTTTCAGGGATTAGTGGGATATGATACAAGAACCAATGTATCATCAGGACTGGATGGAAGTTCTGCTCTGTTTTCGGACAGTGATTCTGGTATTCCATCTGTGAAGGTGAAGCCAACCACCAGAGATCATTCTTTTATTCCAAAAGGGAAAAACTATGATGAGGAAACTGATAGGGACGTGAACATTCTTTGTTCTGGTAATAATAACGTCGAAGTAAGTGGTCAGAGTGAGTTTGGGCTATCGCAGTCATGTGTGCCGAAGGAAGTGCAATACAAATCTGAATCCCAGATCATGGTCAATTCTAGCCTTGAAGCAGAACCGAGTCAAAGGGCTTGTAGTGAAGTAAGTGAACAACTGTCAATGACTTCGTTCGTGCCTGTAGCACTTCTTCAGTATTTGAAGTCATTAGCAGTGTCCCCATGTTCTGTGACTCATAAACTGGGATCTGTAGCAGCAGGAACTCAATTGCTGGCATTCAGCCATTGGAAGGGCTATAATGAGCCACCAGCATTTAAAGAGTTTCATGGACTGACGGGATATGATGCTGGGACCACCAATATATCAGCAGGTCTCGAACGAGGACCTGTTTTGTTTTCAACTGGCGATTCCTTTGTCCCATCTGGAAACGAGGAGCCGACCATCAGTGAATGTTCTTTCAGAAAGCGTAGACGACTTTCAAAGGATAAGAAGTGCTCCCTTGGAAATGAGGAATTGCTGCATGGCAACATTTCAAGTTCGCCTAATGATGTGAAGGACTACAAGACTTTGTTCCCTCCTCTTAATGATGTTTTGTTAAAGCATTCCATAGCTGCTAAAGATCCCACTGATGGATATGGTGTTGTTGCTCCCCTCGCCGATCTTTTTTCTGGCTTAAGGGATTTTACTTGTGAAAATTCCAAGTTGAAAAATGATGCAGTTTTGGTTCGTGAGTGCCGTGGAATAGGCCCATCCAATGAGGAAACAAATGAATCATCTGAGCTCGATTGCATAGAGGATTCGTACTGGACGAATAGAATTATCCAGGGAAACCCTGAACAGCCAGTATTTTATGCACCTGAAGCCCGAGATGCGCAGAATGCTCCTATTAGTCTCAACCCAAGTGCAGGTGAACAGGAAAGATGTGCCATGCTTATGCAGCCCAAAGCAGAGTATCCATCCTGTCTTGTTGACAGAGAATGGGATCCTAAAAGTGAGAAAGCATCATCTCCTGCAGATGTTTTCCTAAAGCTTTCCATGTCTGCAAAAGAACCCACAGATGGATATGGTATCTTGGCTCCACACGCCGATTTTTTATCTGGCGCAAGGGATTTTGTCTGTGAAAATCCCAAGTCTAAAGACGATGCGATAGGAAAATGCTCATCCAATGATGAAATAACTGAATCATCTATCCTTGATGGCGTAGAAGATGCATACTGGACCAATAGGATTATTCAGGGAACCCCTGAACCACTAGTATTTCATACCCTGGACTCCGAAGACGAGAAGAATGTTCCTGTTACTCTCAACCCGAGTGCAGATGAACAAGAGAGAATTGGCATGCTTATTGAGAGTCCATCTGGTCCTGTTGATGGACCAAAGGACCTTGAAGCTCATCAATATGAGAAGATTCATCCTGTTGGTGTAGTGCAGTTGGATGGTGATGATTCGCCTGGTTCTGCAGATGGGGAAACTGAGGAAGATTACCCAACAGAACTGATTATGAACTTCAAAAACCCTGATTGTGTTCCCTTAGCAGCAGACATAAATAAAGTGTTCAGTCAGTTTGGGCCTATTGACGAGTCCCAGACCGAAGGCATGCACAAGACAAAACGTGCAAAAGTTGTGTTCAAGAGGCGATCTGACGCCGAAACCGCTTTCAACGGTGCTGGGAAATATAGCTTCTTTGGCCCTTCACTTATCAGTTACCGCCTCAACTATGCCCCAAAGCCGCGCAAAGTCTCTGTTCCAAACCGGGGAAGAAAGAAGAAAAGCACAAAGCAAATAGAATCCCAAGAATAGGCGAGACAAACAGGTATGACAGTTAGTTCTCTTCATTGCTCATAATCTCATCTTCATTCCCTACCCTGTTTGACTTTTGGTTTTGAGAACAAATCAAATAGGCGGTTAGTATTACCTTCTGAGGGGTAATAAAAACTGGTTAGGAGATGATAATCAAGAAAAAATGGTAGGAGTAGGGATAATCGTAATGTGTGAATTTACAGCGGTATCCCCATGAGGTTCATATTTGCTTCTACTGTGTTAGAGTAATAGAGTATACTTGGGAACTGGCCTCCATTATCTTACCTATTGTGTTTGGGTCATCCTTGCACCAAGATATCAAATATACACCTTTGACCCCATTATTTTTTGACACAGAATTGTATCTTTTTTTTTCTGTTATGTAATTCTGAATAGCAACTAGAGTCGCAGTTGGTGGGGAAAATGGCTTTTTTCGTACCTGATCTTCTATTTTCAGCATCCCCTTGATTTTTTTTATTTATATTTATTATTTTTCTTTTTTGTATAATATTTATATATTTTTAACTTTTGATATATCTTTATTATTTATTTATTATTTACATATTTATTTGTTTTTATATTTATTTATTTAGCATTTTTTAAATATTTTTATTCTCCCTTATTTATTTATTTTAATATGGAGTATTGATTTTATTTAATTTTATGTATTTACTTATTCATTTATATAAGATCTATATTTCTTTCTTTTTACTATTTTAATATTTATATTTATTTATATTGTATTTATTTCTTATTTATCTTTAATTATTTCTTTATTTTATATTCGAGTTTATAAATTCATTTATTATAATTTTTGAATTTTCTATATTTTTTCAATTTAACTTTGGTATTTGTTGGTTTTTATTTATTTATGATTTATGTATTATTTATTCTATTTTGTATTTTATTTATTTACTTTTTATTTTAACCTTTTTATATTTATTTATTTATTTATTATATTTATTTTTTAAAATGTGTTTTTTCGTATTTAATTATTTTTTATTAATTAATGAATTTATTTTTAAAGTGTTTAGTGTTTGAACAAGTATATGAACATAAACGAATTTATTTTTTTAAGGTGTTTAGTGTTTGAACAAGTATTTGAACAACTAATCTTTTATGTTTACTGAGTTATCAACACAAGTAGTTATAAATTTTGTAATGCGGAGCACTATCTCTTTCCCTAACAAACAATGAAAAATGTGAGGAAATAAGTCAAATAACTTTTGCTTAGAAAATAAGTTTTAAGAAAATATAAATATTTTTCTTTCGACCAAATGAACACTATGTTTGGTTCAAGGAATGAAATTTCACACGATGACGTAAAGTATTTTAGCCAATCAAAATCAATCCAGTCAACGTTTGACAAATGAGTAGAGTAGTATGCATTGGAGTGGCAAGTCACTCTTTTTATCATTTTTATAGTTTTTTAATGTAATTTATTAAATACAAATTGTTCTACTTATCTTTTTTTAAAAATGTAATTGTAATCCTTTTTATTTTTTTGGCAATAATTACATTTTTGACATATTTTAATTACTCCGTAGTTCATGTGTGCTTTTTTCTATTATAAATATTTGGATTTTCTTGTAAAGGTTTTAATTGTACAAAAAGAAAATTATTTTTTTAATTTTTTTGGAAATTAAATTATACAATTTCAGATAAAAACATTAATTTTTGAAATTATATATTTTTAGTTTTAGAAAAAGGTTAGATTATTTTAATAAAGAAAATAGATTGTAAGTGGAAAACATTGCCTCTAATGTCTTGCTCTTGCCTCTAAAAAATTAAAAAATAAAAACACTTATTTCTTTTACAAAAAAATTAAAAAAAGGGAAAAGATTGTCTCGTGCTTGCCTCGGCTTGCAGGATGCCTTGCTATGCCTCGCCATAAAAAAGGAGCAAAGATGATGAGGTGGCATGCATGACAATGGCTTTCAGATCATCACTTTTAGTTTTATGGAGTACAAAGCATTCATTTTACATATTTATTTTGTTGTGCATATGTAAAGTATGCACAGTATAATTTATGAGATTGATTTATGCATATTTTATAATTGCATGATACTAATTTTGTTGTAAAAAGAATTTTTTTTATTGTGTTGCTAAGAACATTTTTAATCCGTAAAAGATAAAAATGAAATCTTGAAAATGAAATTTTATAAAATCACAAATTTGATCGATCTTCAGTCTTTGAAGGAAAATTTGTGGCTCCATACGTGTACTCGCATTTTTATTGCAAAAATTGCAATAACAAATCATCCTCAAGTTTTACTTTTTCCTCCTTCCAACCCATTAAGCAACAAAAAAAAAGCCATGGTAAGGAGATCCATAGGCCCCATTTGGCATCAAACGTCAGAGAAACAAAGCCATACTCTCTTTTCCAGGATTTAATTACCCATTTATTTCATTTGTCTAAAATTAATCATTTATATTTTATATTCAAAATGTGCTACATATTCAAAGTCTATTTTTAATTTAATTTATTTGAAAATTAGTATGAAATTAAAAAATTATATTTTTCAAAAACTATATCAAAAGTTCTATAAAATACGGAGTAATACGTAACAAATCCATATTATTTTCTCCAATGGATAACAAAAATGGATTTAAAAAAATGTGATTAAAATTCGACCTTGTAAATAGTAAAAATGTAACTTAAAATTTGACCTTGTTAATAGAGGGGAATGCCTCTACACTAAATGAACGTTGACCATAGATAACCTAAAATGTAACGCGAATCTCTAAAACTATTTCCAAAACCCTAGACTTGTTTGGGAAAAGCTTTCCTGGCCTAAATGCTAAACCAGCATATTTCAATTTTGAGTAAATTTCATAAAAGGTCCCCAGTTATAGGTCGTTTTACATATTTAGTCCCTACATATCAAATATTATTATTTAATCTCCAATTATTATATTCATTTACACGAATGGTCATTTGCTAACATTTTTGTTTAGAACGTGGATAAAATTATAAATTCATATTCTTTTTTCTCTCCTCAATTAAGCTTCCTCCCTCCCCTCGCACTCCTTTCCCAAACCCGTCGCTGAGTTTGAAGCTTTGAATCCAAACCCGAAATCATCACTCTTCTATCAATTGTTTGTATAATTGGTGGAACCCAAATTTGAAACCAGTAACCTCCATGGATGAGTTTTAATATTAATTTTTTTGCAATTTTTTGAGATTAACCAATAAAACTCATCCATAAAGCGTATTGGTTTTGATTTTAGGTTCTACCAAGAAGACTAATAATTGAGAGATGGATGATCATTTCAGTTTTGGGTTTAAAGCTTCAAAATCAGCGAGGAAGCTTAATTGAGGAGAGAGAAAAATATGAATACATAATTTTATCTATGTTCTTAACAAAAACGTTAACAAAGGATCATTCGTGAAAAAATGATACTCTGTATAATAATTGAAGACTAAATTAATAATATTTGATATGCAGTGACTAAATAGGTAAAAAGAACTTTTTATGGAATTAGTCTTCAATTTTCAACGTTTGTTTTCCATAGCTTTCTCCTAGTGATCTGCTATTTTCGCTCCCCGCTAAACTCCTGGAAAACTTCTCCACAGTCCACCCTTGCGTTGAATCCAAAAATTTGGCGTTTTGGAGAAATTTTTCACTTCTACCCCTCCGAAATCTTGCGGGGAGGTATTAATATTACTCAGCGCCTAATTAAATCTCAATACAAGCTACGATTTGGCAGTGGAGAACTAGGGTTTACTCCTGCACGTAAGAAATCTAAATTCTTTCAGTATTTCTGAAATCAAATTTAGTTATCTTTTTCTATGAACCGCTATTTATTACGGAGTATTTTTTAACATTTGTTTGATCCTGTTAATATTTCAAATTTACTCTGTTTGAGTGATTTGTTGTAAAATTAATTTGTTATGGCTGTTAGTTTACGATTTTTCTACCTGTTTCTTGTACACAATTGACAATTGTTGAACACAATTATAAGATTTAAACTTGTCAATGATGCTACTGCCATGGATGTCCTCCTCCTAACTTCAGTAGACTTTTTTTTGTTACGTATTGTTCATCCCATAGTTTTGAAAGGCCAAAGGCGAGAGACAGGCGAGAGGGCCTTTTTTTAAGGCGAAAATATATGCGAGAGGTGGGCGGCCAAATGGTGAAATTGGGGCATACACACACATACATAAAATATATAGTGCACTGCAATTAATAATGTCAATTCCAAGCAAGTCATACATGTTAAACAAAACAATTAGAGTAGTTACTACATAATTTTCTTTAAAAAATTAGTATTTAATATATAGAAATGTATTAAGAACTGCTAGCTCATTTTTAAAAGGCCCATAGCGAGTAAGGCAAACAACTCAGGCGAGAAAGGCAAGAAAAGCGAGCGACTCAGGTGAGAAAGGTGGACAACGCCTCGCCTGAACATCTACAGGTGGTATAAGGTCGCAACATCTACAGGTGGTATAAGGTCGCCCGGACGCCTGAGGCACCTTAGGCAAGGGAGGCGCTCGCCTTTCAAAACTATGGTTCATCCTATTGGGTATTTTAGTAATTTTCAATGCATTAGCTTTTTAAAATGTTCAACTTCCAAATGATAAAAAATCAAACAGTTAATCACTAAGTTGAATGCAAATAGCTAAACTCTAAACTCTAACGTTGTTCCAAACATGCCCTCCCAGAACTATGCTAATGAAATAAAAGAAGTTTGGTTGATTATAAGTAGATATCTCTATGTTGTGATCCCTGTTTCATGTGTATTATGTGAGATTTGTTGATGCTAAATTGATTCTCTGCTTCAAAGTATACTTGTTGAATCATCTCGCTTAATTCATATAGAAACTGAGAATGGATAATTACATTAATCACAATGGTACAATATATACAGATTACAAAATGGAGAGTATGTTGTTAGGATCCAAAAAGTGCTCCACAAAATAATCTAGGTTTGGGAGTTACAAAGATATATATAACAAGTAATTAGGAGAAATGGAAATAAATTATGATAAATAAGCATCTCTTGTATATTGCTATTATGTTATACATTGGGATTACCTTAACAGAATTAATGTGCAAAGTGAAATAATGTATGTGTCCCTAATCAGATGTCATGTACTTGGGATTATATTCCACACAGTAAGAGAGGGACAAGTGCTAAGTAATTTCAATGTGCTTACTGGGCCTCCCCTAAGCTGTAGTTGGCAGTTTGGCACCGTCGGGTTACTTGGGTACATGTCACGGGCATAAAGGAAAAAAAGAAAAGATTTAGTTAAAAAGTTTTATGTGATGTATGATAAGGCCAATAGGCTGAATTTTTTAAGCATAGACTTCTGAAGTATCTTTCTGGATTCACAGTGACTTGCTCAGCTTAAAACTTACTAGTTTTCATTCAGATGAATACATGCAATTACAAGTTTTTCTTGGCACAGTTGACATTTGGAGGATCAATCACTCCTCAACTCCTTGGGCGACAATGAAGAACTTTAGCAGAGGGGTCCTCATGTTCTCCAAGATTTATGGCTCTGGCTGTCTGGTAAAACCCCGACCATTTCAAAATGGGGCTTCTAATATACAAGCAGTAGGTAATCAACGGCATAAAAGCAGTCTAGTAGGAACCTCAGATACTACCCCAGCCACGCGTTATCCGAAATCGTTCTGTGAGTGGCTAGCAGGAGTTATTGATGGTGATGGAACTCTGAATGTGAATAAGAAAGGCCGTACTTCTCTTGAAATTACTATGGGACTCGAAGATATAGCACTACTACGATATGTCCAACATATGCTTGGAGGAAGTATTAAAATACGGTCTGGTGCTAAATCTTATCGGTATCGACTGATTGATCATCTTGGTATGATTAAACTAATGGATTGTATTAACGGTAATATTCAAAAATCTGCCCGACTAACTCAGCTGCACCGAGTCTGTCAAGTAAATGATACCCCTGTAATTGTGCCTCTCAGACTCAATGCTCAATCAAATTGGTTTGGAGGATTCTTTGATGCTAATGGTAGCATTGATATCACTGTGAAGAATGAATCACCCCAACTACATATTCGAGTAACTAGTAAACTGCTTCAAGATGTGGAGCCTTACAAGGTTGTGTTTGGTGGAAATGTATACTTTGATAGTGGACGAAATGGTTTCTATGAGTGGTCCGTGGATACTCGTGAAGACATTTCCAAATTTACTGGTTACTTCAAAACAAGTACTTTCAGAAGTCATAAATCAAGACGCTTCTTTCTCATCGACGAATATTATCATCTATATGATCTCAAAGCTTTTGAACCTTCCAGTATGAACCATAAAGCGTGGCTAGCTTTTCTCAAGAAATGGAACAACTTGTAAGTATAATGCCCCTTTCTTCAACTCATCTATTTATATTGCTTGAAATCCTTGAGGAAATAATTTAATGGCGCGCTGCATAGGTTAGTTGATACAAATGAATTAAAAAAGCTGATTGTTAATATAGGCCTCTCTATAAACTATAGTCATTTTCATTTTAATGGAAAATTGCTGTTTTGGTGAGTCTAGATGGCTTGAATTTGACATTAGAGGTGGTGTTGGTTTGGGGTTTGAATGACCGGGATTGTTCTTCTAACCAAGCCTGTTTTATTAGTAGTTGGTCAGACCTCTGGTCTTAGCTTGTTGAATTGGTACTCTAAAAACACATTAGATGTAAATTCTTTTTTTATATTCTAATCGAAATATCTGTCATCAAACAATTTAATTAGTACTCATAATTCATAATTTTATTTATTGTAATATGAATATTTCTTTATGTAAGGTTAGTGCAAAATTCATATGTAGGTTATGCGATTTAGGGATGCATGGCAAGATGCATTTGAAATAATAAAATTATCATATTGCTTATCTTAAAAAGTTTTGCCAATTTTGATGTTTGGCATTGAAAATGGCTTAAAGAAACTTTTTGGAGCAACTTTAACAAGTTATAATTAAAAGCAAATAGCTATCTGCAAATATCTCTATGCTTATTAGTTATGGAGTATTACTTGTGTTGCACAATTTAGAGCTAGTTAGTTGTTTCTTGCTGATAAGCAGTTTTTAACTTATAAGCTGCTTATAAGTTAAATATTCTTTCGTGGAACTAAAATGACTAAATGATACATACATCATTGAGGATATTCATATATGGTGATGGATAAATTTCTTAATGATTTGGTTAAAACAGAAAAAAGAAAAACTATCTTAAAAAATTGGTAAGACCTACTCCCTCCGTTCCTTAAAACCATTCCTATTTTGACTTTGGGCAAAAATAAGGAAAGTGTAATTTTGGTTGACTTTCTAATTTCCCCCCTGAATGGGTAAAAATAAGATGTGATAGTTTGGTTATTAGTAAAAAGGTATGATGTGATAGGTAGGGTATGAAAAAGTAGGGGTAAAAGTGGTTTTTTAATAGAAAGTAGAAATGTTTTAGGGAATTGAAAAAAAAACAAAAGGAGAAGGGTTTTATGGAACGGAGGGAGTATTTAATTTATTCTTTTTACTTATAAGTCAGCTTATAAGCACAAAAAAGATGTCGTAAGTTGACTTTTAAGTTATAAATAGATTATAAGCAGTTTTGCTTCGTTTATAAGCACAGAGAAACACCACCCAATTCAATATAAAAGAAATTAACTTAAATAGGAGTAAAACATAAAGAAAGTACCAAAATAGGAGTTCAAGATTTTTTTTTCTAAATAGGAGTTTGCACTGTGGTAATGTGGCATTATACATGTGTATTTTACTATATTTTTGGTAATGTACATAGTTATGATTGGTAATGTAAATGAATTTTAAGTCCTATTTCATGAATAAAAACATGGAACTCTTATTTTGGTATATTTTTAATGTTTTATTCGTACTTTTGTATTTTTTTCCTAAATATAAATATATACTTAAACTTGCAAATGCTTTTTTACTGTATACTCCACAAAAGAAAGCATTCTTTTTTGAAAAGTTTTATACAGTCTCACAAAAAGCATTCGAACTAAATGTGCTTTTGTTGGCGTGACACTGAACACTGTGAATGCTCTCTGCTAAAAAGATCTCATAAAGTTTTTACAGATATTTTTAATGTAGTCCACTTAACTGGCCATATTATATTGTACAACCAGATATACCGTACATAATGGTAAACTTGTAATTAAAAATATTTCATAATGAACATTACATTGTTTCAAAATGAACTCTATGTTATTTCAGAATGCATATTACGTAGTCTGAGAATTAACACTATGCCTAGCAGGCTTGGAATGAACACTATGTTTTTTCAGAATGAATGTTACATTGTTCGAAAATGAATATTATAATTGTAATGAACAAATATGTGAAAATGAACACTACGTTCAGACCGAACACTACGTTGATTCAAAGTGAACATTTGCGGTGTGTACCCAGCTCTAGGTACACCCGAATGTACAATATAGGCTCTTCGTTAGCTGCTCCTTTGAGCAGTTATTTTTTTCCTATTGTGTGCATTCTAATTCTTTGATTTCAGGGATTCATTTTGACCATTTTGTATTGCTTTTATGGTGTGTTGTGTTTCATCATGTTGCTGCTATTCCCAGTATTCTGGATAGACCATTTTTTGAACAAATAGAACCAAAAGGTTAATTCTAAAAAAATTTTTAATAAAGAAACTGATGTATTTTTATTATTTTAATGTTTAGCCTACTTGAGAAATTTTCTCTACATAATACCACATGATATTCCATTCGTCACATTTTATCGCGTCTACTTTGATTGGGGCACACTTTGAGAAAGTGAACTTTTTTTTACTTAGATTTATGAAGATAACAGAGAAATATTATGAACCATTTTATGCTTTCTTTGGTGTAAGGGCTGAAGACTGTGCATCCAAAACACTCAGCTTGAAGTATTAGTGTCCCCTTTGGACTTGTAAATGCTACTCCCTCCGTTCCAAAAAGTCTTTCCTGTTTACTATTACGGCTTCTCGATAACTCCAATTTGTTTGCGTGTTTTCATTGATCATTTGATAAAATAAAATATTCTTGTCGCCTCTTATTTTGTAGAGTTTTCGATTTAGTTTTTAAATATAATTTTTTTATGTGTTATTTCCTTACCAATTTCCAAATAAAATCATTTTAAAATCTACGAGGTTTTGCACGTTAATCAAAACAGGAAATTCTTTCTGGGACGGAGGGAGTACCTCCCAAAATTTTGGTATCCAGAAGCACCACACATTTGAAGCATAAATCATTGTGTAGCCAGTTGTGCAGACTATGTTTCGACATGTATTGTAAACCAAAAGGTGGGATTGTGAAACAGTCGGGGAGAGCATCGGTTCGGTTCGGTCGGTTTCGGCCTATAATCGAGTTAACTCACATTAACCGACCGAACCGAAGTTACTTTATAACCGAACCAACCGAACCGAGAAAAACCGATTCAGTTTGGTCGATTCTGAAAATACCGAAAATGTCCAGTGCTAATACTTGAAACACAGCCAAACATTGGAACATTCTGCCAATACTAATACCTACTGCCAATTGGCAAGCATAAAAACTATTTTCAATTTTTTAAGTACTAGACTAGTGGCTACTGCAAAAAATATCCAGCAGATGAAAACAAATACTCCCTCCGTCCCCAATTTGATTACAAATTGCGGGTAACGAAGTGAAATTTTCTACTTTATGATATCATTTTATTTACAAATTGGTATATCAATAAGATATAAAAATTACACATTAAAAAATTACGTCAAAAGTTCTACAAAACAAGAGGTGACAAGAATATTTTATTTTATCAAATGCTTAATAAAATCACGTAAACAAACAAAAGTTATCGAGAGGAGAAAGAAAGAAAAATTTATTAACATGCAATCCACTTGATGGAAATCGCTTTTTCGGGGTATCAATCCGACGAACTTGGTACCGGGTTGGCACTGCATCGAATAACGAAATCTAGAAAATAAATAAATAAATAAAGCGGAGAGAAAGTATTTATACGTGTAAACTCAAATCGGGAGAAAACCACGTACCTTTTTAGGTGGTGTCATGCTAAGGGGAGGAACTTTTATTAATCTTGGGGGAATTTATATATACATCATTGTAAGAGCTTGGAACCATTAATGGAGCTCCAGAATTCAAAGGGAAGAAGGAAGAAGAATAGTAATAGGAGCTCTCTCAATATAGAAAATTGGCCTCCTCTTCGTAGCTTCACATTTAAAGGGGAGAAGAGAGTGATTGCTGGAGACAAAAGAGGACATCCTACATCTGAAGCCCATGTGGTTTTAATGTGATAATATTTTGTGGGTCCCGCTGAATATCTTTATATCACTTCAAATATATTCTTCTGCCCTTATATCTCTGGTCCCGTCTTGAATAATTTATCTGATTTATATCTTGGGCCGGACAGAATTGGGCTTACTTGTACTGTTCAAATAATATTTGATTCGGTAAAATCCCTAATCCATCACCACTAAAATTGAAAGTATGTGAATTCACCAAGGTTCCCATGACATTGGGAACCAATGTCATTGGATGACCCGGGGCGTTCGGGTGCCCCGTTCGTAAAATTGACGGTTCCTTCCCCATAGGAGTAAAACATAAAAATATAAAAAAAGTTCTATGTCTTTATTCCAAAAAATATGAGTTACAATGAAAATAAAAGCTCAATCATGAAAGAAAAAATAGGTTTGATTACATTATGTGACGTGTTTGATATTAAAAACAAAATCTTGTAATATACGGAGTATAACGTATAATTATAAATATATTATTTATAATAAATATTGCATAAATAAATTGAGGTGCAACGTAACCAAAATAATTTTTTAAATTCAAATTTTAATATTTATGCTAACTTTATACTATAATAATTTTTTTGTTTTGCAAAAGTAGGTTTTTGTGTATGAAAAATAACAATACTTTTTTTATCTTAAAAACATTCATTAAGACAACATGATGATGATGATGATGATGATGATGATAATGATGATGATGATGATGATAATAATAACAACAATTACAACAACAACAACAACAACAATTTATAACAAGAAGAACTAGAATGAGAAAAATATAAAAATATACTAAAATAATTTTTTAAAGTCTTTTTAGGTTTTCCAATTTTTGAAATTTTTCCAGTTTCTTATAGTTCCTTCCACTTTCTTACAGTATTTTCCAGTTTCTTCGAGTTTCTTCCAGTTTTTCCAGTTGCTTCCAGTTTCTTACAGTTTCTTCTAGTTCCTTATAGTTTACTTCCAGTTCTTCTAGTTTCTTCAAGTACTTTCAGTTTCTTCCAACATTCAGCTCTTTTTTTCCAGTTCCAAAGAAGAGACTCTTAGTAAGAAAATATGGAGTTAGACATAAGATACCCACTACCTACCAACCTCAAACTAATGGTCAATTTGAGGTTTCAAATAGAGAAATAAAGCAAGTTTTGGAGAAAACCACGAATCCTTCAAGGAGAGATTGGACTTTGAGACTACCTGATGCATTATGGGCGTATCGAACAACATATAAGACACCACTTGGAATGTCTCCGTTTAGACTCATGTATGGAAAGGCTTGCCACTTACCAGTAGAACTCCGGCCAAAGCATGGTGGGCTGTAAAATAATGCGATTTCAATATTGAAAAGGCAGGAGTTCATTGGAACGAAGTTGCCGTTACAAAAATTGGAGGAAAGTAGGAATGATTCTTATGCGAATTCTACTATCTATAAAGAGAAAACCAAGAAATGACATGACAACATGATAACTAGGAAATCATTCTACGAACGCCAAAATGTGTTATTGTTCTATTCAAGGTTGAAATTATTTCTTGGTAAGCTTCGCTCTCGTTGGGCTGGGCCTTTCGAGGTGGTGAAGATTTATGCACATGGTGCTATAAAAATAAAGGATCCTAAGAACTCTAAAATCATCAAGGTCAACGGACATTGCTTGAAGCCGTAATGTGAAGATTTTTTGATTTTTCAGCGTATTTGGTAGAAACAAAGGTGTTGATTGAACTTGATTACAATGGATGATTCCTTGGTGATTGTGTTGAGCAAACGACATAAAACAAAAGCGTTTATTGTGAGGCAACCCAATTATGATTTATCTTATCTCTCTTATGTATTTATTTTTTAGTTCTTATTTCTAGTTTTTTTATTGGTTAAGTTTTTATTATTATTTGAATTTCTTTTTCCAGAAATTGAATAAAGCCACATATTTCTACTGCTTATGAGAGTGTAGAAACCAAGGGACAAATTTCTAGGTTGAAGAAAGAAATAAATTCCAGAGTTGTACCAAAGGGGCTCAACATTTTTCAGGGAAGCTACTAATAATTATTTTCACAATTCTATTTTTGTTCTCTTATCAACCCACTCTCATGGTTCTCCATTTTCTGTATCTTATTTCTCATGATCTTTGTTCCATGTTTGACATCACTTCTTAATTTCTTTATTTTTAGCATACATTGAGGGCAATGCATGAATTATGTGTATGTGGGAGACGCTTTCTGCATTTATTTTGTGTATTTTCAAGAGTTCAGGTCTACAGGCACATCTTACATAATGATCATTTGGGTAAGAGCTTAAAGCATATATCTGTTGGGAAAACTTATTAAATCTGCTGGAAAAAGTTGTTTGAGAAAAAACAAACAGATTAAAAAATGGAAGGAGAGTTGTTTTTACCTCTTGTATTCAATATGTTTGCATGATTTACATCATCTTATTACTCCTTTTTCTTGGCCAAAAATTTTGGAAATTTGTATTAACTTTTAACAAAAAATGGGCCAAATTTTAATTTTTTAGAAATTTTTAATTGTCTAATTTTTAAGGTTGTTTAATCAAGTAGAATGCTCCTTAGTAAAGGTTCTTTCTCCTTTATTTAGTAGCTTAGTCAATTCATTGTCCAAATAATGTTCATAAACTATTGTTATCCAAAACCTTATTTACCTTTTATACATTTTCTTATCTCTCCATAATTAGGTCCGGAGTAATATCTTAAAGATGGAAAGTTGGGATATGATCGGTAAAGTAGCTCTTCTTGCCCTTTTATTTTTTGATGGGTTGGTGACTAATTTAGTAAAATTCAATTTGTTAAAAAATTTAAAATAGAATTGTTGTCATTTTCAATTTGTTAAAAAAAGGTCAATGCTAGGGGTACACCGACATGGGGTATCCTATTTGTACACCAAGCCAACACACACACACACAGATATTTTGTATCTGTGCTGCACAAGCAGTTTGTGTCTGTGTTTGTTTGTGTTGATTTGGTGTACAAATGGGGTACCCATGTTGGTGTACCCCTAGGTTAATTCTAAAAAAATATTACGGAGCATAAAAATTTAAAATTGAATTGTTATCCTATAGGAAAAGAGGAGGTGTAAGATATAGTTGTGTTGGCCCCATAAAATATGAGGTGGAGGAGAGAAGGAAGTAGTGCTCCTTTAGTCCAGGCCCGGCCGAATAGGGGACAAACAGTCCGTTTGGACTGGGTCTATGATTATAAGGGACCCAATTAATTTTTAATATATAAGAAGCCCAGCATCCAATAGGGGACAAAAGCCCATCTCATTAGCCGCCATTCCTACTCTGTAGACAACTAACGCAAACCACAGAGGCGCAGAAGCTGGAAGGAGAGAGCCGACTGCTGAGAACGCCGCCGGTATAGGGACGCCGCCGCCGCTGCCGCCAGACCCCGCTACACCCTCCAGGTATTCCGCATTCACTATCTTTCCAATTTAGTAATTTTTTTCTAATTTTCTTTCTTTCATTGTTTCATTCTTTGGATTTAAAAATCTAGGGTTACTTATTAATTTTTAGTTTGAAATCTTTTCTAATTGCTATGAAATATGAATGAATTAATGGTTCTATATATTCTTTATTTGATTTGGATGAATTGATTTGAATTTATGATATATATAAAAAAACTGAAAAACTAAGAAAAACTGAAAAGTTGACAAATTGACATGAATTTAAGATATATATAAAAAGACTGAAACTGAAAAAGAAAAAGAAACTCAAAAAATGACGAATTGAATCAATTGATATGAGTTTATGATATATGAATTTATTTGCTTGCATTTCCATATTTGATTTTACTAAGTAGTAAAGTTTATGAATTTGAATTTTATTTCAGAAATAATTCAATAGCTATGGGTCCTAAACATCTATCCGGTAGTCAAAAACATAAAAAGAGAAAACGAGATGAAGATTGAGAAAGTCTCAAACTGGATAAGAAACGCTTTGGTCATTTATTTATTTTCTTCCAATAATATTCTTTTAATTATCATTTATATATAATTAGTTTACATATGTTAATTTGTTAGACTATATTTAGGGCCTTTTTTTATCTCGGCCCAAGCCGTTGAATTCTCAGGACCGGCCATGCTTTAGTCCTCCTCCTAGCTAAGGCTGTCTGTAGTCCACCACGAAGAGCTTCCGTAAGCTGAGGTGATTTTGCCACATTGGCAGTGAACATCGCTCCTCCATCCTGCGTGATCTGCATGAGAAGAGTCACCGTGGGCACGACTACGAAATTGGGAAGGTAAGATTTTTTTGTTTTTTTCTTATCATTTAATTTTTGTACTGTAATATCTATTTTGTCCATAACTTTTTGTGTGTAAATCATTACTCGATACATAATATGTCGTTAGAAATCTTTTCGCAAGATCTACCAATGAGATTACAATAACAACAATAACAACATTATCCCAATGCCTCAATGCCCCCCCATTGCCGGGTAAGGAGGGGTCAGATGTACGCATTCTGACCCTTATGTTTAAAATATAGAGTGACTGTTTTCAGATGACCCATGATGAGCGTCGAAAGTTGTATTGACTAATTGCTACTTCACAATTGCAAGAAGTGCAGACAGTTTAAAAAGCCAATTTGCTTTATTCCATTATACTCCAAAGCCAAAAAAATACTGAATCTTTGGCTCCATAGGCAAATGGAAATAACCAACAACATTAATATTGCATAAATAATTTTCATGTTATGCCTCACTTATATTTTTCGCTCAGACACTTCAAATTTGAACAAATTTTGTTTTATTATTTTATTTTTGTAACAAAAACAATTTTAAGTTTAAATTATAATATCTTGTTTTTTCATTTTTTAAATTCAACTAGTTTATGTTTTTTATGCTATAAAAAAGTAAAAGAAAAAAAGGTATGCGTAGATAGAAAATATAAGTGAGACAAAATAATGAAGTAGTTTTTATTGTTATTATTTTTCCTTTTTTATATACAAAATAGTATAGAATTTAAACATATAAAAATATAAAATAGGACCAAAAAATTCAACAAGTACTATATAAATAAAAAATGAAAATATTAAAAAAAATATCGACTAAAAATTAAGAGATTGAAAAATAAAAAAATAATAAATTTTAAATTTTAAATTAAAAGATGTAATTTAATTTGAATAGAAATGTGTAAATATTAAATAAAAAATTATATTGTAATCATTGCACTGGATATGAGGCATTACGGGTGTGAATTTAATGAGATGATGAGTGGAGTTAATGCTGATGTACCCTTGAGTGCTTGTTGATTTAGAGTGAATAGTGGCAGAGTGATAAAGAAAGCCTAATGATGATGTCCTTAGGCAGGGCGTAACGCCCCACCAGCACCTTCTCGTGGTCCACCATGACGTTGCCATGGCACTGCGTGACCATGCAGAACACCGCCCCTTCCCTTCGTGATTCACTCAGGCCGTGATCCAGGCCATGACCACGGTCACACTGCTCCTTCTGACATTTTTCTCCTCTATCCCCAACGGTTTGTTGAATGACATAAAAATTATTATTTTTAAAATAAAAAATTAAAATTTCAAACTCCCTACACTCTCTTTTATTTAAACCATCCAATATCTATATATTTTTAAACACATTCTCTTCTTATTTCTTTATCTCTCATTCATTTAAAATATACTCAAAAGATGAATAATTTGTACTCTCTAAAGATGTCTGAAAGAACAAGTCGAGATACACTTTACGAATTTTTCAAAGGGATACGTCTTATATTTAATTTTTACTAATTGATAATTTTCCAAATATATATAACGTAGAATTTTTATTTTCATTATATTGAAGATGTCATAGCACTATAAGGTAAATTCATAATATATATAAGTGTTCAAATTAATTATTTTCTGTGCGTTTAATTGGTATAATATTAAAAATAGAGAAAAAAATTTAATCACGAAATAAAAGCAGAATAAATCTGAAAATAATTTTTAATTATTTTATAAAAGATAATATTTAATTTGAACAAAAATAGGTAAGCATTTACAAAAATAAGAATATAATTATTGCAGTGGATATGAAATACTACATGTATGAAGTGAGTGTGATGATGAGTGTAAAGGCTGATGTATGTGGAGTTTAATGGTTCCTCATTTGGAGCAAGAGTTGGGTTGTAAAATGAATTAATCGAATTGAATATTATGAAATTTTATTTGTATTTGAAAGTTGATATCATTGTTGATATTCATATTCGTTTTTCATTCGAATAAATATTACAATTTGTATTTGATTTGATATTAAATTCAAATATTCGATCCCTGTCTGTATTCTTTTATAAACTACAAATTTCCAGTTTTTTATGTTTTATAGCTTCAAAAATTATTACCCCACAAATTAATCATATACTCTCTCTTATCAAAATAGTTCTTATTTTGACTAATGGAAGAAATAAAGAGTGTATATTTGTAGTTGACTTTCCAATTTTTCTCTTGATATGATGAGTAGAAAGTAATATGAAATGGGTTTTTAATAGGAAGTGGAAGTGTTTTGATGAAAAAAATAAAGAGGAAGTATTTTAGTTAACGGAGAGAGTATTTTGTACTAAAAATAGCATGCCCAAAACAACAACAACAAAGACCCACTTAGATCCCATGAGAGTAGGGTATGGGGAGGATGTATGTACACACAAATCTTGCCCGTGTATATTATGTTCTATATTTATTATGGGGTACTTTGTATTTTCTCTCTTTTGTGCATCACTTTCACAAACACAATTTCACTTTTTTAAACTCTGTGGCTGAACAAAATGTGGACTATTAATTACTGACGGAGGAAGTATTTAGTAACTAAAAAATATAAGTAGAAATTACTCATTTGAAAAAGATTTCTTCATTCTATGTATTGTACTATTATGATTGTTGTTTCTAAAGTATTCACAATCTTCAAGTCCATATTTTATTATTTTATTTATAAAAAACATAGTTGATACTAATATGGAGTACATATCATAAAAAATATTTTGATTGGATATATTTAGCAAAGATTGGGAGAAATATTTGGACAAATAAGATTACCACTTTTTTATAGAGCATTTAGTGTAGTTTTTGAATGTGTATATTTTAGTTTAAAATTTTATGCAAATTTTCAGATAAATTTAAAAAGAAAAAACTTTAGTCACACATCATAATTCGTAAACTGCATTTATTTATGGACCGAGGGAGTACTATTGTTATATATAGTGGAGGGAGTAGTGTTATTAAATATAGGGGTGGGTATGGGCCGTTTCGGGCCAAGATTTTTCAAACCCGGCCCCGGGTATTTTTTATCAACACGGGACGGGTCCTTTAAACTTTAAAATTGGAACCGGCCCTAACCCGGCTTGTATGAAACGGGCTGATTCCACGGGTCAATGGGTCCTAGCCGATCAAACTTCCTCAACCCATGAAACTCTAATTCCCTAAAGCAGATTAAGAAAAAATTGATAGAAACAAGAAGTATGGTTATATTTTGCAAATGCTTGATATTGAATTTCCAAAGGGTTGTTCAATTTGAAATCTATAGCATAACTTTCAAAGTGATAGAAACATGAACTTCCTCAAACCATCATCAGATTCATTACAACCTTACGGCGTAGCTCGCCTTTCAAATTACAAATATTGTTATATTTGCAAAGGGTTAGTTAAATTTGAAAGAGTTGTTCAATTTGAAGGGCAGCGTGAAAGCAATGAAACCAGTGGAAACAACGAGGTCTTCTTCAATCAAAACAAAACAAAAAAATCGTAACAAAATGTAAGAAACACAATATATAAAATCGTTGTAAGCTGAAAATTGAAATCCAAAATCAAGGCCTTGCACCTGGAGATGGAAATCTATACGAGGGTTTGGTTCCCAGTTTGCTCAGCTCGTCTCGCTGGAGAAGAGAACAGATCCAAGTTTGTGCGTCTCTGGATTTGGTGTTGCAATGAACGACGACGATAGATTTCCATCACCAAATCCAGAGACGCGCAAACTTGGATCTGTTCTCTTCTCCAGCGAGACGAGCTGAGCAAACTGGGAACCAAACCCTCGTATAGATTTCCATCTCCAGGTGCAAGGCCTTGATTTTGGATTTCAATTTTCAGCTTATAACGATTTTATATATTGTGTTTCTTACATTTTGTTATGATTTTTTTTGTTTTGTTTTGTTTTGTTTTCCAAAGGTGGAAAGAGGACTCTTTTTTGGAGGTCCCAAAAAAGAAATGAGGACTGTTAGTTCGGGACAAAGGGAGCATTGCATTATTTTAAACAAATATGTGTATAAAAAATTTAGCTTAGTTGGTTGAGATATTAATGTAATACTCCCTATTAATAAGGTTTAGTGTTCCAATCCTATTGGAACCTTAATACTTTTGGCTACTTTTTGAAGAAAAAAATTATTTAAAACTGGTTTAGCAATTCAAACGGTTCCTCGATACACAATACAGTCCAAAATAGAGAACCGGGCCGGTGTATCCAACACGCCGATCCCGTTTTTATTACTGTGAGATCACCATTTTTCTTCTTTCGGCTATCAATGCCCCACCTCTCTCCTAAGTTTTTACTTGGTGTCTACCCTCACCCACAAGCTTGCTGTTCGGCCACTTTGGCATTGCCCATACATCGAAATGCCATCCCTGCCTCATGTAAGTCTAATCTACGGTGTATCTTCCAATGGATTTTTGAAAAATTTAATCAAGACATTTATGAAGTTTGAATATAAAGATGCGTGGATATTTTGATGCACCTGGAAAATAATGATTTTTTAGATATGTTGATTTATTTCATGAATGTCTGGTAACTTGAAACCATTGATTTTTTATATGCTCATTTTCATCCTTGATTGTTGATGGAATTGTATAATTGGATAGATGGATTCTTTAGGAATTTCAGAATGGTTACAGTAGGAAGCCAATTTTTTTCTATGAAGTGGAATCTTTTCATTTACAGTTCCTTTTGTAACCACAATCTATTTGAACTTGAAAATTAGATCTCATTCAGATTTCAGTGTTTGCTTTCTGCACTTAAAATTTCATCTATATGTTTCAGCTATCAAGAAATATTTTTCTCAGTACTTCTGTTATATTACCGATTCGTAATACTCTGAATTTTGAGACGCGGGGGCACTCAAGTGGATATACTCTGGAATTGTTTTAATGATAGATTTGTTTTTTTTCTTTTGATTTTGATCTAGACTCCAATGGCTTCACTCTTCATTCCTCCACTTTTTGTTTTCTTTGAGATATTATTCTTGTATTCTAATTTTGACATCTTTACTATGATCTGCTTCAGGCAGTACTCAAGGCAGGATCCCAGAGGGGGTGTAATACTGAAATTCCATGCGAAAATGAACTGAAAGCTGCATAGATCATAGTGACTTAAACTTTACACCCTTCCTTCTATCACTTTCTACACCGTCGATACCATGGCGGAGCTGGACCCTTCCGCTGCTACGTCATCGAGCATATTCTTTCAGAACAAATTTCCTCCACCGGACGACACAGTGTTCTTCTCCATCTTTCCCGACTTTTCTGTACACTCCCCTACTTCCCCTACGATCAGTTCCGAACTTCAGGCTCTCCACCTCCAGATCATCCAGATCATATCTGCTTTCACCTCCAACTACATATGGCAACATGAACCCTTCGATCTATGCCTCTCAACTACTTCCCCGCCCCACCTCGGTGGCAAGGTCCGCTTTGGCGATAACCTTGAAGATGAATGGTTTGTGGTATTCCTCCTGTTCGAAATTTCTAGAAACTTCAGGAACCTCTCAATTCGCGTTTGGGACAGCGATGGTGAGTTCCTACTCATTGAAACTGCCTTCCACCTCCCTCGGTGGCTCAACCCCGACACCGCCAGTAATCGCGTTTTTATCCGGTGTGGTGGCCTTCACATTATTCCCAAATCCATCTTCCCTGACACCCCAAACATTCAAGACGCTCTTAGGTTTTTAATAGATGGAAAGAAGACCAAAGCCCCAGAGCCCGTGCAACTTCAATTGGAGAATAGGTTGAAACAGTACCCCATGAGAGCAGAGAAGAACATGCAGAGAGTTAGGGTTAGAGTCCCGTTATCTGTTGCACAAGTGTTGAAGCATGAGCCGTGCTTAATTTCACTAGCTGTGGAGGGGTTTTATGACAGGGATATTGATACAATGAAGTTTGCGGCTAAGATGGAGAGGTTTCTGATGAATAGAAGTGGGGAAGAACTGGTGCAGGTGGTTGTGAGGATGTCGAGGGCAATGTATGCCCAATTGGTACAGCAGACCTTCCAAGCCCCTAAATGCTACCCGCCATTGCCTCCTAGAACTGACTTGGGAACATATTTGGAGGCTGAGCTGGGGATGAAGATTGCATGTGGATTTGAGATGATGTACCAGTTAAGGAAGAGACAGGGAATGGAGGGGAAAGGGAGGACATGGGAGGCTTTCCTAAGCAGTCTGGAAAAGAGTGGGTATTTTGAAGGGTTGATGCCAGGGTCCCAGGAGTACAAGAGATTGATGCAGAATGCCGAAGAGTACTACAGGAACAGCTCATTGCAAGCCAGAACAAGGTTTGTTATATCATGTCCCTTAAATTATTTGACTGACGAAATATGGACATTTGCTTTCTTGTACGGGTTATCAGTTCTCTACTAATTTCAACGTGTTCCATCCACACCATGCAGTATGTTAATTGTTTTGTGGATGATGCATTTTGAGCTGTTTAAAAATTTCAAAGCACATACATCCTGAATTGTGAAATTTTCAGTCTACTGACTTATGGTCGCATGGTTTGGTTTGTCTCTCCACCTTTTTAGTTTTTACAAGTGATGTATTAAGCAATTTATGTCTGCATCTGCACTTTGTGTATTCATCATAATCTACTTCATTCCCCGTTGTGCATTAATCTAGGCTGCCTTAGTTCTGTCATTTGGCAGCTCTTTTCGCGGCTGGGAGTTCATTTCTATCCTATCAGCTCCATTTTGGAGCTGCCACTAGAGTACTAGGTACGGTAGTGTTGCAGGCTAGCAGCTACATTACTCAGTTTTTCAATAAATCCCACCAAACCTTTTTTAAAAACCTACTTTTTCAGTCTCAAACATTCACCTATTTCTAAAAAACACCATTATAGTAATTTTACATCACCATTGAATGGAAATGGCTCAAATGGCAATATCTCAAACAAACACACATTATAAAAAAATCAACATTTTCCCTAACTGCCAACATTTGAACTAAACACCCCCCTAATCTGGTTCCTCACTTAGCACTACTATATGTTGCTGTTAATCTATCAACGGTTCTGTGATGCTTTTATTTACACACTATTGTTGTGCAAGTAAAATTTCTTGGCCTACTTCTGAAAATTGCAGCGAGGTGTTGAGTGTTCCAGTAAGACGCATAGACGAGATTCTTGCTCTTCCTCATTCTGTGGATGATTTTAAGAATCAGCAACTACCACCATCAGATGATGACTCGTGGCTTTATGGGGGAGAAGATGAGCTAAATGCTGTTCTTCAAGAGAGGCAACAGGAGATGGAAGACTACAATTCAAAGCATAAAAAGAAACAAAATTCAAAAAAAAATCAGGATAGTTCAGACAAGCTAGATGATTACAATCTTAGGAACATCTCAGAATCCATGCAAGCTTTTGTCAAGAAGATGTCAAGCTACAAAGGAGCAAAGGTTCCAAAAAGTAGGTTAGTGTTTTTTTCTTCTTTTAAAAAACACTCTGTAGTACCATCATTATATTCAGTGTTGTCTTTGAGTTAATTTTATATCAATAACAGAATGAGTGATAGAGGTCACAATGTTACGTTGCATGATGATATTCTCATCAATGCAACTCTCGACGCTCATCATGGGTCATCTGGAAACAGTCGCTCTATGTTTTAAATATAGGGGTCAGGCTGCTTACATTCGACCCCCTCCTCCACTTGCAATAGGTAGGAGCCTTCAAGGCATTGTGATAATGTTCTTGTTGCTCATTGCCCTATTCTATGTTGATTCTTGAATAAATGGGAACTTGGTTAACATATTGTCAAGTTTGAACATTTGTATAAATACCACTGCATCTGAATATTTTTTTCCCTCATATGGGGCCATGGTGGTCTGGAGAATATAACTCACATAAGATGACCACAGTAGCAATGTGATGGGTAACACGATCATTCAGGGGAAGAAAGATATGGTCAAGGTAGAGATTAACTATTCATTGGCGTACAAGAAACTGAAGGACCTTATTTGACGGAACCACTAAATTATTACTAGTTGGAAGTTGCAGCAATGTTTTAGTAAATATTGTTTTGATGTCAAGTGAGATGTAATGTAGATGGTTATGCCTGTATTAACTATCACCGCAAACTAGTGCTTATTAGAACCATAACATCCATGTAGACAGGTGATTGAATTTACAGTTTAAGGACTCAGGTTCAAGATTTAATTTGTGGACTCATGTTGGGCCTTATGGATCATTACTAAAAAGTGGTTTCTGTGACATCATTGCTGAGAATCTTATTTGCTATGTTTCTTGCTGCACTAATTTAAAAGATCTTTGGTTGTGAACTTGTGATACAGGCAAATTGACCCTCTTATCGATAATGTGTGTGTGTGTGTGTTGGAGACAATCTTATTTGTTCTTTTTTCTTCAATTGAAGCCTAAGAGATGTGGACTTTGACGTGGATCGGTTTATGCAAGACATTGGTTCCTTGGCTAGGCAATCAGACTCAAAAGACAATGACAGCGAGTGTGATACTGAAGAACAATCAAATTCTGACATGGAATTCGGTAAACTATTAGCAATTTGAGATTTCCATACCTGTGAGAGAGAGAGAGTGTGTGTGTGTTTGACTGTGCATGTTTCTGCATGTGTGTGTATGTGTGGATTAAGGTAAGAACTATGCCGGAAATATGCATATATATATTTGGAGGCTTCATGTTCTTGTTGAATTTTAATTATGGAATCATAAGGTTATTATTCTAATAATAAGTAATCTTTCCTTGGACCACCTCTAGTCATTGCACCATCTCATGATTTTGTTGAAAGGATCACTCCAACCTTGACACCAGATCACATGCAATATCACTTAAATTATGAATAGCTGTTCACCAACGTGGTGAAATATCGTCCATACACCATTTTTTGTTTTATGTGATGAAAATTGTGATAGAAGGTCAATGTATGTAAAGTGGAGTTTGTTGGATCTTCTTCATCAAAGTAATACATTTGTAGTTAGCATATATGCTTTACAACTGCATTTTAAAATTGCCATTCCAAAAGTAGAGACTTAATGCGTGTAATTTACTTTGACTTTGCACAATGCTCTGTCCTTTAACTTGTGTTTTGAAAGCTGTGTGCTGAACTTGACTTGTGCTTTGCATGAAGATGAATCTGATGATAAAAGTGATGCTGAAGATAATGACATGGAAGGGGATCCTTTTATGGAGTCCTATTCACACACTTTAAATGAGGAACTGAAAGGCACTTCACTTGGTAAAAGCTTTGCTCGAACAGATGGAAACCATCTCAAGAAAGATGAGGTTAGCCTTTCATTAAATGCTTTGTGTCAAGTAGCACATGCAGACTTTGGTATAGTTAATGTCACAACTAGGGGTGTCATAAATTAAACATGTTTTAAATACCTAAAGCTTGTTTTTGAACTTGTGGAAAATGAACCAACGTTCCAGAAACATCTTTTCAATTGAAGAAACAGCCCTAAATATTCTGGGAAAGGAAAATCACTCTTCCAACAAGTTTTCATGCATCATAGAAACACACCCTCCGTCCTAAAATGATGTGCCCGTTTGACTTTTTCGGTCAAATTTCATAAACTTTACAAAAATTGCAGGAAAAATATATATATTTACTTAAAATGTGAGATTCAATTTGAAATGCCATGCTTTAAAATATTTATTCGCATACAAAATAGTTATGAACAGTCAAAATGTTGAATCAGAAATTGTGAAAAGTCAAACATACACATCTTCATGGGACGGAGGAGGGCAACCCACGGATCTGGTTACCCTTTCGGGGTTTCATTGTAGGTGTGTTGCTAATGATGTCCGTATGTTGGTTCAACGCAGGGAATATCTGGTGCTAGTGCAGAAGGGATGGAGGAGGAAGAGTTGAGGCCTGTGGATGTGGATTTAAACCTTGTGATGAACCTTCTTGATTCATTTTCTTCTCAGCAAGGACTTCCCGGTCCAGCTTCCAACTTGATGGGGCTCATGGGTCTACGATTCCCAGAGGATTCGAAGAGTACTACTAAAGACAAGTAAGTTCTGTACTTTAGAGTTCAATTCGGGATCATAAACGCACTACATCTCTTTGTTTTAAACAAAAAAACACACAGATTGGTTCATGCTGGGAAGGAGCATTGTGCTTTTGGGATACTTGGTTTGCCCGATTTGATATTTTCACACTTATTCAGATGAGGAATATGTACACACCAAAATTTGAAAACAGTAATTAACAATGCTGTTCCCTTTCCTCCGATAGCTAACCCCTGAAATCTAAACATCGCTCAGGGTTGGCCTTCTCGCAATCTTTTTCTTTGTTTTTTTTTCCCGATTGGTGGAACCAGAAAAAGTTGCATTAAATAAATACTAAATAATAAAGAGAAATAATCAATGGCTTCAAAAATTTTCATGTGAGGGAAGCCACTGCTCCATCATGTGTTTCTTGCCCTCTGCAAATGCAATCAAAACAAGAACATCAACTAGAGCTGAAATATATGTGTGTGTGTAAAATCACAAAAAAAAAGTAGAAGAGGAAGAAATGATTCATTACCAAGGGAACACTCATTGGCAATTGCTTTAATGGCCCTGAAGAAGTGATTGCTTGGGTCATCATGGCCTAATTCCCTGCGGTCAAACCTATAGCAAGGAACCAACACAGCAAAAGTATTGTCCTCTTCTTTTTCCTCCTCCTCGTCATCATAGAAATCGGGATGGTGCGGTTCCAGCCACCCGATCGACCAGTCCGACTCATCGGATTCCGATCCCGACAAACAAACGTCGTCGGATCGGACCAACACCATGTTGTACTCCTTATCAACCCTCCTCCTTTCTTCCACACTGACCCGTTTCCTCCTCCCCCGCCGGACCTCCAAACTCTCCGGTTGCCCGGGCGCACAATCCGGCAAGGTATTTACAGAAGACCCTTTAGGTGTTGACTCTTTCTCCTTTCCACCCCACAACCACCATGAGAGACGAGACAGAGAAAGGGCCATTGATTCGATCACAAAGGGAGAATCTCGGATTGAGTAGTACTCCGCTACTACTCATAGGCCCGACTTGGTTCCTCCATAACTCTCTTTCTCTCTCCTCCCCAAATCCCCACGCCCCTGCTTTGGCAGTTAGGATAGCTATGGCGGGGCCAACATTTATAGGGAAATGACGATTGAGATTTGAGTGAGAACTGCATTTTGATCCCCATAGTTTGTCTTATTTGCATTCTTGCAAGTAGTATATCATGAGTAAAAAAAAAAAAAGAAAGAAAGAAAGAAAAACAAAAAAAAAAAGAGCTCTATCCGTGAAGGCTCATTTTTACGGAACATGGACATCGTGCGGTCTCGGGATTTTCATAGAACTTGTACAGTACCATTATTGTTTAGTTACAAAATAATTTTATTCGTACAAAAAAATCAATTGAGGTAAAAATGTTTGGTGCATTAATGTGTTTTTATGTCTTCACAATAATTGTATGGTTCAATAATAAGTTTTTATCCTACTTGATAAGTTCGTATTCCCTAGTGTAAAGCATAGTAAAATAAACAAAAATAGGAGGCTCATATTTTTATACTTAAATACTAGAAATAAGAAAATTAAAAGAATGAAGTTTGATCATGTGAATAGTAAAAATGTAATCATTGTGTCCTAAAATGATCTTCCTAGTTCGGTTTACGAAGTTTGATTAAAATTATTTTTAATTCAATTTATTAGATTATAGGTGTAAAGATAAAAAAATGTATGTTTTAAAATTACATCAAAAGTTCTACAAAACAAGAAGTGACATGACTATATTATTTTACTAACTAACAAAAATAGGTAAAGAAAGAGACATGTGAGCAGTGACTGAGAGGATCATTCTAGGACTAAGGAAATACTTTACTTTGAGACGAAAAGAGTAATAAATTGAAATAGTGCACTAGTGAAAAATATTGTGTGCCCCAAGTCCAAAATAATAGTTTCTTTGTCTCAAATTAAATTAAATGTTTACTATTTACAAGTAATTTAAATTGGGGCAGGGAGAACATTTTACAGAGTATTTTTTAATTCTACTTTTTTTTCATATAAAATGATTTGAAAATAATTTTAGTCAAACATCGTAAATCAAAACAAGCAATTTAAATTGGGATGGAGGGAGCACTTTTATTTTTTAATTCTACACCATTTTTCATTTAAAATGATTTGAAAATAATTTTAGTTAAACATCATAAATCAAAGCAGTCAATTTAAATTGGGACATAGGGAGTATTTAGTCCAAATGAAAAAATAACGGCTAAATAGAATATAAAGGTAAAGTATATGAAATATTATATTTATATTAAGTTATGATATATTTCATATTATATTCTTCTACTTTTAAAATAGTTTTTACTAATTTGCATGCTGGTTTGATATACAGAGTAAAATTTACTTGTTTTCCATTATTTTAAATTGCTCTAAAAAAATTCTGGCCGGAACCTTCGTCCATACTCTTTAAGGTGTCCATCGTCATATATATTCTTGGATCTCCCCCTAGATTCAAACGCATATATAATTACTTTGTCCTGCATAATATATACTCCTCACTATCTAATGATGAGAATGTTTAAAATTTTATTTTTTCAAGTTTAATCTATGGTGGTATTTCTTTGTACGGGTGCTTTTTACTTTATTATAAATAAGCATTTTTTAATTTATAAGTTGTTTATAAGTTAAATATTTTTTTTGTAAAAGTAAAATGATTTAAATGATAGATAAGTCATTTGTGGATATTCATAAATGATGAGAGATAGTTTTGTAAATAATCAGGTCAAAACGGAGATATAAAAAAACTAACTTAAAAATAAGTAGGTAAGACTTCAAAATGCTTATTTCAACAAATAGACCTTCTCGCAATTTTTTTTTTAATTTTTTATTTCAACACTTGAAAATGCTTATTTAGCATATATAAAGATCCGCCATGGACCTTAGTGTACTTAATAGTTTGACTAGTTTATAAGCTAGAGAGATATGACATCAACTTACTTATAAATAAAAATAGTTTATAAGTAATTTTAACCATCTTAAAAATATTGAGAAACACCCATTATGTGCTTGTCTGGGAATAGCGTTAGCATCTTGAAAAAACTATCAACGAGCAGCGTTTAGCGTTTTTAAAATAATCTGCACCATTAAAATTTTATTCAAAACGCTAACGCTATTATTTCCAAACATGCCCTATAGCATTAGATATTGAAAATGCGGTTATACAAATTTGGGCGTAGCTAGATCGACTTGGATGTGGCAAGTAGAGCGGTTAGTGATTTTGATATCTGATTCGTAATGAGGGATTGGATTTGGAGGATTCTTTTGTCGTCAACCTCATCTCACTTAACCTAACCTAACAACATTATCCTCTGATCTAATCCTCTTGTTGGCAGTTCCTCTCATTACATGATAATGATCTCAAAAAACATAGCCTATGCTCTCCTTCTATGTTGTATTGTTACTTTAGTTCTTTTATTATTATGATTAGAATTCTTTCTTGTAATCCCTATATATAAGAATGTATTCTTCATTATTCAATAAGATCACTTATTATCATATTGTATCATGGTATCAGAGCTAAAGTTCTTGAAAACACAGCTCTTCCTTTTTCGACTGAGGACATTGCCGATCTCTGTTCACGGCGGTCGATCGTCCAACAACATGGTGTCACCGACGGATCTCGACGAGCGTGCCTAACAGCCGCCGTCCATTATTCATCTCTTTCTCTCCAAAAAAATCCACTATCTCTTTCTTCCAAAAAAAAATCATGCGCGTGATCGAAGAACGGGAAAGTTGCATCTGTATGTGTTTTACTCTAGAGATCAAGAACATTGAAAGCGATAGAGAGGCAGAGAACGAACCAAAAGGAGAAAAAAATTCCTTGCCCTCACTCCAATTGTCAACACTCTCACCGAAAATAAATTGAGAAAACGTAATTTCAAGTTTGTTCGTCATGCAACAAAGATTTCGTTCTTTACTTATAGAGGCTATCTTCACAGAATTATTCCTGCCGGCTCAATTCCATAACCTGTCCTGCAAACTACTCCTCGTTACCCGATAATCAGCTTGTGGGGGGAATAATAGGAAATAAATTATTAATTACATTTCTTATTCTCTGGTTTCCTTATTGTATTATTACTCTAATTCTTTTTTTACTATGATTATAACTCTCACTTATAATCCCTATATATTGATAGGAATGTATTCTTAATTATTCGATAAGATTAATTATTATCAAATTGTATCACTCTATAGGATTATTTTTGTATAAATACGGAGTATTTTCATACAAAATTTTAATAATATCGTCGCATAATTATCTTATTTTTTTCAATTTTTTTTACATATTTAGTTTTTTATTCGTAATATTAATAATCAGCCATCAAAATTACTTAAAACTTCAAAAAATAAATGTCCATTTGAACCTGATGATCTCACTCGAAGTAACCTTGATCGAACTCGAACACTCCTGACTTACAGTTAGCTTTGGGGGTGTATTGAATAAGGATTCTTATTCATTTAAATAGAAATCAGTGGAGTTTGAAAGTTTAGGTGTATTCAATTGTATAAGTTTTTAAAATTTGTAAAAATTTAGGTGTATCCAATTAGGATTTTAAAAAGTCATTATAAATTCAACGAAAGTCTAGCCGTATTCAAAATAAACTTTTAAAATTGAAAAAAAAAGCTAGAGATATTCAAAATAATATTAAATCCATGGATTTAATAAAATCATTCATATATGAAGATATTTTACTCCAGGATATAAATACTCTTTCTCCATTATTTTCTTTGCGCAGGAGCAAGTATTCTTTGGAGACTTTTTTTAAGCAAGAGCCCTAGGTCCGCCGTCAAAGCCTCATCATCCCCGACAGCTTGAAATCGTAGCAACGCAGCGCCGTCTAGAACCTCCTTAGGGACGGGGACACTGTCGGGAGCGGCGGGAGACGCCCCGGAACCGACACCGATGCACAGGATTCACGGATGAAGCTTGGCGAGACGGAAACCCAAAGCAGGGGACATATTTGGGTCGGATCTGCATTTCGGGTTTATGGCCCACTCCCTAATTACGGAGTATTTTTTTCCTTTTGTGCGTATAAGTGGCCGATTAGGGTTAGGCAACGACTCCATTGAGAATTAGGATTTCTTTTAATGATCAGTATTTTAAATTTTATTTTTCCAATATATATATATATATATATATATATATATATATATATATTTCCAATTTGCAAATTGTACCAAAAAAACCCCAATTTGCAAATATGTAGTATTTATTATTTGTAATACTATTTTTTATCAAACAAATTATTAACAACGGCTCGGTTCCATGGCCACTGGATTCCAGTGGCCATGGAACCGTGCCGTATTAACAATAACCATGAAAAGTTTAAAAATATGGATTTGAACTATTTTTTGTTAAATTCTAAAAAAAATTCATTATGCTAATTAGTTTTTTACATTTTTAATTCTATATTTAGTACTTTATTATTTTATTTGTCGTATCCTCGTCGTCCCCGCATCCTATAATTTTTAAAAATGTCGTTTTCCGACCCTGTCCCCGCCTCCGCATATGTACTCGCACCCACCTCAGTGCAGCCTAGGCAGGAAGAAGAGGGAGAAGCATCGTCTCTTACGTCTCCTTTTTTTTCTTCAATCAAACCATAATCTTTTTCACAAGCCAAGAAAGAAAGGAGATTCTAAAACTCATTTCTGAGTTTTTCCTATTAATCCGACAATCTGACTATATATTTGTTTTTTTCAAATTTTTTATTTCTTGTTCTTGTAATTCCATTAATATAAAATTTATTTTGTTATTAATATAAAAATATAATATTTATTTAATTTAAAATCAAAAAGTAATCTTATTTGAGTGCAAAAAATAATGTTTGATGGGTGTATCTCACCCATGACCGGTCAAAGGATGGAACCAATTAGTTGACCGGTCAAAGAGGTTAAACTTGAATGGAGGACCCGAATCGTCAGCAAAGGGGATAGATGGTTGACCAAAAGGTTGACCGGTATACTTCGGATAGTATACCGGTCAAACTTTTCTATCGTCTAAATCCATCCTTCGAAGCTAGCTAATCAACCCTCAAGAACCAACCGGTGAAGTTTCCGAGGATTTGAGGGTGTCGGCAGGAAGAGTCCAAAGGGACTTGGACTGTTGTGACTGACATTATTGGAGAATCAGTGGAGATGCCAAAGGAACTTTTCCAAACCAGAACACGACAAGGGCACAACCCCCCTCGCAAGATGACAAGGCAACTCAGGGACAGTCACCTCGCATCACATCAGCAGCGTGCCCCCACGTGGGCGCACGTGGTCCTGTCCCCCCAACTTAGTATATATACCTCCTGTAACCCTCGAAGAGGGGGATCCGAATTCATTCTCTCTAAACTCCCTTGTAAAAGCACCCGTGCATTCTCCATTATAATATAAATTGGGCTACATGTGTTCCACCTAAAGTCATACCGGTCAATCTGCGTGTTTTTACCTTTCTTACTTTGCCAAATCAAGCAAACTATTCTAGACCCGGTCTAGTATAGTTTGACCGGTCACGTAATTTACACCATCATTTTGGCAAGTTGACGCAATATGCTCCCGAGCATGTTTCAAAACTTGCCCAGGTGGGAATCCTGGATCGAGCCAGCATCGAAAAATTGGAAGTCGCCGCTATAACAGCCGGAAGTCAATGTGACCGGTCAAACCGGGTTGGGGCGGACGACCATTGGATGTATGATCTGATGGAATATTTGATGGATGGGAGCTTGCCAGAACAAGATGACCGGGAAACAAAAGTGAAGCTCAGGGCACCCCGATTCCAAGTTCTTGATGGAAAGTTGTATAAAAGGCATTTGGGGGGCCACTCCTGAGATGTCTAACCAACCGGGAGGCTGAGCGAGTCATAGAAGAGGTCCACGAAGGCGTATGCGCGGCGCATCAAATGTCCCGAACGCTTTCCCAGCGCATCATCTTATTGGGGTATTACTGGCCAAGAATTGTCCAGGATTGTGAAAGGTATGTTCAGAAATGCAGAACATGCTAAGTGTTCTACAAGTATCCCGGTAGACCGGCGACCTACTATCACCCCGTATCGAATGTCATCCCATTCGCTAGGTTCGGAGTTGATATCATTGGAGCGTTCCCAGTCGCCCAAGGAGGGAAGAAGTCTGTAATCGTGGCCATCGATTACTTCACCAAATGGATCGAGGCCGAAGCGTTGGCCAACATCACCATGCAGCAATGCAAGAAATTCATTTGGAAGAACATCATCACGAGGTTTGGAGCGCCCATGAACCTAATCACCGACAACGGCCCACAATTCCGAAATCCGAGATTCACTGAATACTTGGAGGGCTTCGGAATCAAGCACAATCGCTCTTCGGTGGCGTACCCCCAAGGAAATGGCAAAGTCAAAAACGCCAACCGAACAATTGTGGATGGTCTAAAGAAACGGCTGGAGAAGTAGGAAACAAATGGCTAGAAGTGCTCCCGCACATCATATGGGCGTTCCGAGTAACACCCAGGAGGGCTCATGGGGAAACTCCATTCTCCCTAACGTATGGGTGTGAAGCAAGGCTGCCCATTGAAGCCGAATTCCCAACGTTTTGGGAATCGAATTATCAACCCCAGCAGAACGAGGAAGATCACTTGGCCGAAATCAACCTGGTTGAGGAGCAGAGAATGGCCGCGGAAGTTAAAATGAGCACATATCAACAAGTTGTGAAGAAGTACCATGACAACAAGGTTGGACCGCGATACTTCCAAGTTGGAGATGAAGTCCTACGAAGAAGACAAGCAAGTAGACCAGGCGATGGGGGAAAGCTGGCAAAAAACTGGGAAGGCCCACACAGGGTTAGAGCCATCATTCGCCCATGAACCTACCGGTTAGAAACTTTAGATGGTGTACCGGTAGAAAGAACTTGGAATTCCCACCATCTTCGCAAGTTCTACAAATGATTGTAATACTAGGCGAGGCCTAACTACATTATCAATCAAAATGATGTTCAATACTCTACTTAGTAGCGGCGGAATTGATAGGTCGAACCTATCCTAGGAGGGCTTCCCGGGTGGATCGAATCCACTTGGATAAGCCAACTGAGACATAGGCCCGGACCTGGCACGCTGGTTACTACACCAGTCTTGCTCAGTATAATAAAAAAAATATTAAAACCCGAAAGAGGGTATGCCTGCAAGAGGGCTGGACCTGGAAGAAGGTTTAAACCGTACTTACACGGGCCCATGAGGTTTGACTGGTATCGGGGAATCAGCCGGTACCGTCAAACTGAGTGGGGACTAAAAGATGCCCATTAAAAGAAATAGAAGGGGATCGTCCACCGAGGCGCATCCTGTTTCCCCCTTCTCAGGGAAGACTTGAACGGGGGGGGGGGGGGGGGGGGG